CATCAGCTGGATAGCTGGCCAAGTAATGAAATAGGGGTACAGTAATGGGGTAGAGAAATTGGCCGGGACAGAGCCCTGACAGTGTGAAACACTGATTGCTGACCTCTAGCTGACAGGCTCCTTACATATTTCTACTTATGTGAGAGACTACAATGTCATTTCAGTTAGAGCAGAACTTTTCTGAGGGCTAAGCTAATGCCTGTGAAATCACCCCGTGGTTAGCAACAGCCTTTTTCTCTGAAAATCCTTAGAGTTCTGAACATGTAAGCCCAAGTCTCAAAGCCCTGGAAGAAACGCACCCAGACTTGGAGTTCTCCTGAGGCTGATGTCACAACTTTTGTCGTATTTTCTCCAAGGCTATCAGGCTTTGAATTAGAGGAATTAAATTCTTCTGACATTGAGATTCAAATCCAGAAACCATGAATCGAACAGTTCTTACTCCTTTTGAAATCTACTCATAACATCTACAACTTCAGTACCAGCCTTCACAGAATCACGAAATCACAGGATTGTAGGCATTGAAAGGGACCTGAAGAAATCATTGAGTCCAAGCCCTCTGCTAAAGCGGGTATCCTACAATAGCTTGCACAGGTAGGCATCCATAAGAGTCTTGAACATATCCATAGAAAAGGACTCCACAGCCTTTCTCTCCACAACTTGTTCCAGTGCTCCGACACCCTTACTGTCGAATTCTTCTGCGTGTTAGTATGGACGTTCAAGTTTTAAGCCATAACTCCTTGTCCTATCACTACACACCACCAAGAAGAGCCTAGCCTCATCCATTTGTGTCCCACCTCCCTTTATATATATATAAACACTGATCAGATCCCATCTCAGTCTTCTTTTCCTGAGGCTGAACAGACCCAGGTTATGGGGTCTTTCCTCATGCTGGAGATGCAGACTCATCATCATTTCTGTGGCCCTCCGCTGCACTCCTGCTAGGAGATCCCTGTCTTTTTTGAACTAGAGAGCCCAGAACTGGACACAGTATTCAAAATTTGGCCTCACCAGGGCACAGTAGAGGGGGAAGATCACCATCCTCAGCCAATTGGCCACACTCTTCTTAATTCATCCCAGGATACCACTGGCCTTCTTGACCACAAGAGCACACTACTGGCTTATGGCCAACCTGTTTTCCACCAGGACCCCCAAGTTCTTCTCCTCAGAGCTCATCTCCAACAGGCCATCCCTTAACCTGTATATGTAGTTATTCCTCCTCATGTGCAAGACTCTACACTTGCCCTTGTTAAACCCCATCAGGTTCCTTTGTGCACGACTCTCCAGTCTGTCCATGGTAGCACAGCCCTCAGTAGTGCCAGCTACTTCTCCCAGCTTTGTGTCATCTGTAGGCTTACTGAGGGTGGACTCTGTCCCTTCATCCAGGTCACTGATGAAGACATTGAAAAAGATTGGACCCAGAAAAAAACCCTGGGGAGCACCACTAGTTACAGGCCTCCACCCAGACTCTGCACAACTGATGACAACCCCCTGAGCTCTGCCAGTCAGCCAGTTCTCAATCCACCTTTCCCTTATCTATCCCACATATTCTAAGTTTTGTAACAAGGATGTTCTGGGAGACAGTATCGAACACCTTGTTGAAATCAAGGTACACAATATTCCCTGTTCTCCCCGTATCTACCCAGCTGGTGACGACATCACAGAAGGCTAGCAGGTTGGTCAAGCATGATTTCCCCTTGGTGAATCCATGTTGACTACTCCTGATAACCTTCTTCTCTTCCCATTGCTTGGAGATGACATCCAGAACAAATTGTTCCATCACCTTCCTAGAGATGGAGTTGAGGCTGACTGGCCTGTAGTTTCCCATATTCACCTTCCTGTTTTTGAGGACTGGAGTGATACTGGCTATCCTCTAGTCTTCAGGTACCTCTCCCATTTGCCAGGATTTTTCAAAGATGTTAGAAAACAATTCAGCCATTTCTCTCAGCAGATGTTGGTGCATCTCATTGGAGCCCATGGATATATGTGCATTGATTTTGGCTAGATGCTCTCTGACCAGATACACTTCAACCAATGGAAAGTCTTCCTCTACCCAGACTCTCTCTCTTATCTCCAGGGTCTGGGATTCCTGAGGGCTAGTCTGAGCAATAAAGACTGAAGCAAAGAAGAGATTCAAAATTTCAGCCTTCTCAGTGTCCCCTGTTACCAAGGCACTCACTTCATTTAGTAGGGGACCCACATTTTCCCTAGTCTTCCTTTTACTGTTGACATGCCTAAAAAAACCTTTCTTGCTATCCTTTGCCTCCTTTACAAGGTTTAATTCTAAGAGGGCCTTACCTTCCCTTGCTGTATCCCTGCGGGGCCTGAAAACACTCCTTTATTCTTCCCAGGTGGGCAAGTCCCCTTTTCCACATTTCATGGACTTTCTTTCCTTTCAGTTTATCCATGAGATTCTTGTCCATCCATGCTGGCTTCTCGCCACCTTGACATTTCTTTAGCCTAAAGCCATTCATTGTTGATATTTTTTACCTATTATTAATAGCTGGGAAGATATTTATTCCTTCCATTAACACTTCCTGGACTACTGTGGTTGCCATGGAGCAGCTGACATACCAATGCTTCTGTTGCCAGTTCTTGTGCTCTTACTTTTCTCCCCACTGAGTAAAACTTAACTTTGCCTCAGTGACTGAGGAATGAAACAATGTAGTCATCCTCTAGTTTAAGAGCCTGCAGCAGAATTACTACAGATAGCTAATAGGAGGTAGCTTATTAGTAAAGGTAAGTAACATAAAGATATCTTTTGTACACAAAATGAATAAGTATGATCGGGTTTATGAAAACCTACTGAAATGACTTGAGTCAAGGGACTGCCTATTGTCCACCAAAAAAACTAATATTCTTTTGCTTAGGCCACAAAAAGTAGTACATAAAAAGTAACACTGGACGCAGAATAAGAGGGAGGGAGAGTTTTCAAGAGAGCACTCACAATAGGTTACAAAATATCACTCCATCAGTGCTACCTTTAAAGAGGGAGTACAGGTCCCCATTCTCTTCATCTCACTGGTCCTTGTTTGTTGTGAAAAACGTGGACTCTTCCGTAGTACCCTTAGTTGCATTGGATCATCAAGAAGGTTAAAAGAGAACAGAGATTAAGCTGAAAGTGGAATTTAATGCTACAGCTCGAAGTTGACAAGCTGCTGCTGGACAGTGTCAGGCAATATTTTCTGTGTAAAAAAAGATGGCTTTCAACTATGGCTCTTAGTCACTGCCTAGAAATTAAGTGTAGTATAGACTCATGGCAGCTAAAAGCATTGATCAAGAGAAGACAGAGATCTCTCTAGTGATCTATTCATTTTGCTAGATTATTTTGTTTTCCTCTGTGTCAGCCTGTGTCAATCATTTATTTCCCCAAGTCAAAAGGAACTAAGGAACTGGGATTTTCATGTCCTGTTGCTAATACAGAATGCAGTATCCCTGGCACAAGCCAGCTATTCTAACAGTAAGAACAAGAAAATCAGCAGAGAAGTTTGATATTCTAGAAAAACCCTGAAGGCAGCTGAAGCATGCTGAATATTACAACACATGGTATGTTAGAAGAAGTTGACTAGTGGCTGATTACGGTCTTTGGATAAAGGACTCAAGCTGAGCCTAGCTTTACTTCACTAAAATTTTATTCTTGTTTCATTTTTGCTGTATCTATATTGCATTTCTAAAAATTATGACCATGTCTAATTTCTTACTGTGAGCAGGTTACTTCTCTCTATTTCCTCCTTCCTAGACAGTTACAAACACTTTTTTTGACATTTGGTTGACATTTTTCTTGTTTTGTGCACAATATGTGCATGAAGGAAAAATGAGTGGCATTTAGACTCAAAAAAAAAGAGTAACAAGTATTGAGGCAAAGAATTAATGAATTTTATTTGAGCTGCCTCATTGAATTCAACAGTTATATATTTATATTTTTAAAAATATTTGTTTTTAGGAAGCATCACGTGTGTATGAAGAAAGCTAGAATTAATCTAGTATTAACCAGGTCTTTTCAGCTTTCATTATGTCTGTCAGATGCAGGTCTGACTGCTGTGATATCTGTGCACTTTGTAAATCAGTGTCCCTACCAGTGACCACTTGAAACGACAGTGGTTCCAGCTTGTTTATCTCAAGGTTGGGTATTTTCTTTCTCATCTTATGTGAAAGGATTTTATCTTTTCAGGTAATCTGAAAAAAAAAAAAGTTTCTCTTTCCATTTTGCTCTCTTTTATCATGTAGCTTTCAAAATCACTTTTTTCAAATTTTTAATGCTGTTTTTATCTACTTTACCGTATTTATTTACGTATTTACTTTACAGATGGGGAATTTTTATCTGGTGAAAAGCATTGAATTGTTAAATGGTTAAGCTTGGAAGGAGCCCTTAAAGATCATATAATCATTTAATTACTAAGGTAGACTTCTAAGACCCAATCGTCTAAGTCCAACCGTCGACCCATCAGCACTGCGCCCACTAACCACGTCCCTAAAATTACCCATTCAAGCTCGAGCTGCTGTTCCAAGAGACTCGGTATTGCTCAGAACAGCCCCTCTGTGCGGCAGAGGTGCTGGAAAACGAGTGCGGCGTCCACAAGTCACTCCGCCGCGTTAGAAGACAGCTCGACGACATCGTCCCGCAGCCGACCGCGAAGGCGAAGCGGCGAGGCCGTCCGGTGCCGGGCATTGCCGCACAGGGCAGCAGCGGCCGCCGTCGGCAGGTGGCCCCGGATCCCCGCGGCTGCGGGAGGCTCTGCTGCACCGAAGAGCGGCGGGAGGGGGCCGGGGAGCGGCTGCCCCGCGGGGAGGGCCGGAGTGGGCATCGGGGGCCAGGCGGGGTAGACGGAGCTCTCTCCGTGCAGCGGGCGAGCACGGTTTTGAGAGCCGTCCGCTGGTCCCACTGCGGGAAGGGGCGGGTTGTCCAACAGAGGTGCCGCCTCTCCCGAGCTGCTGCTCTCGGTGGGCTGTGCCCTCTTATCTCCTCTGGAAGCGAGGGGCAGAGTGGGAAAGGGTGGTGAAAGATGCTGTGGCTGCCTGTCGCCTTCCAGTTGGTGCTGGTGCTGTGCAGCCAGGGCACGGAAAGGTGCCCGTCAGCCTTCTGCGAGTGCTCCGACTGGGATGACTACAAAATTACTTGCAGGGACATCCACTTCATCCCCAGCCTTCCAGAGGACACTCAGACCCTGTGAGTAAGCTGTGGTGGGTTAGGAGAGGTACGAGCTTGTTGCAAATATTCTTATTTTGCAAGCATGAGATGCTCTGAGTAAATGCTCTGTGAGAGGTGTCAAGTGGGAAAGTGCTGTAACTCACTTGGGCAGTGAAACACGGTGGGAAACAACAGTGAAGAGAATCTGTGTGTGCCTGGCAGACCTAAGAAAAGTGCCCCTCAAGCCTTACAGAGCTGTGAAAAGATTCTTGATTGCTGGACTTCAACAGTACTGGGTATGAGATGGTAAATTTAATGGCCGGACTGTGTGTGAGCAAAGAGGGGAAGACTGGATTTTGTATATCCTGTGTATGGAGGAGGAGAAAGGGTAGATCAAACAGTTTTAAATGCAAAAAGAATAGGACTTGTATGTACTACCTTGCAAACAGTTTTCTGTAAGTTTCTGAGCACTTTCAGCATCTTTGTTGAAGCCTGACAAAAAGAATCCGGGGTGCCAGTAATCCCAATATATTGATTGGAAAATAAAGTACTTCAGAAATACGGAAGTGTGGAGAATGTAATACTGCAGCAATTTTGGGATGTGCAAAAGTGATAGACATTTCAGAGCAATTCAGGTACCCAGAAGTAGTGTTCAGTTCTATTCCTGTTACCTTTAAGGTATCACACCTGGATTCCTGCTAACAGTCCAAAGTATGTCATGTGCCCTATCTGTCAGCTCCATATCTGTGTATGGGACAGGAACTGTGGGGAAATGGAAATGACAGAAGTCGTCTTTAGCAAAGTAGCTGAATGACTGTCTGTGTTTTACTTTCTAAGTCACAAAAAGTTTCTAGTGTCCAAGAGGAAATTCATTTATTAGCAAATTACTTTCCAAACAAATAAACTTTAACTCATTTAACTGTAAGATAAAACCATTAGAAGTTGATTATTTTATGTCTTTATAAATATTCTTGGAACTTTATTTTAAAAAATGAGCCATTAATATATTTGAAGGTATTTGAATGGGCATTTGAATTTTTTAACACCTAACAGTAAAGGCTTAGCAAGTTAATCATTTATCTGGAAAGACAGAGAATAATGTCTTGATCTATGATGTTTACATTGCTTATGTATGACTTTTTTGATTGTTTTGTTTTTATTTTGTTGTGATGTTGCTATTTGGTGTCTTTTTTTTTTTTTTTTTTTTTTTTTTCCTTCCTTTCTGGATAGTACAGTGCAATTATGCAAATATTGCAATTGATAAAATTTTAGATTAAATATTTTTAGACATTATACTTTTGTATATATGGTTTATTTATCTTCAACATGCAGTCAGGTTACTGTATGTAACATACAGTAGGTTCCCTGAAATCTACCGTGACAAGGTAGAAAATAAAGCAGCTTCAGTTTACAGGAGAAATATGCTTTCGCATAGGCTTTTAAAATAGTTGATAGTAACAATGAGATCACATAATGGAATTGGATGCTTTCTCTGGAAATGCTAGTTTGAGGACTGAGAAGTACACTCTCTGTACACAGCTTCAGTGGGCTGTTGCAGTTCTAGGGATATAATTACCAGTTTAAACACTAAGGAACACAAAGATCATATGCTGCTGCTTAAAAACAAAATAAAACAAGAACACACAGTGAAAATTTTATTTCCATGAAAAGAAAAACAATTCTGCTAACAACAATTGTAATTTTACGTTGTGTAGTAGAAAAGGTAAAACATGGAATGTACAGCCTGATTTGAAACTAGATAAGAAAATTCTCCAAGGAAATAAGGAAAACACAGCTCTTTTCAAAGAAAAAATGGCCTTTTAGAATTTGGTTTGTAGTTTTCTCTCTGGATCAAGCGTGCACATTTTCTCTCTATTATCTGAATGACAGAAGTCTGATGTATATTCTGTTGTCTCTTGAAGTAACTTTTCCTTTGTGTGTCTGAAATCTCAAAACAGCTTATTTTAAAATTTTCTTTTGTGGCCATTCAGTTTTGTAGAACTTGTAAAAAAAAAAAAAAAGAAAACAAAACTGGGAGACTGTAGTGAATCTAGGAATGCTTTGCCAGTTTTCAAGACGATAATTCTTTTCAGTGCATGGGATCTTGAAACTCCAATTAAAGTTTCATTCCAATTATTCAGTTGGGGCTGTTCTCATTTCTCGGTCCTACTTTAGGTGAGTGGTGTGAGCTGTTTTTGTTTTTAAACAAGTTGTGCTTATAAGAAATTACAAAAATTGTATATTTCCAAATTCAGCTAGTGAAAAACTGTTGTGAACTTCAGCCAGGAAAGAGTTTTGGTTTTAAACCTATTTTAATTAATTTGTCTAAATAGAGTTGATGTGGTTGCTTATCCAGAGTGGCTGAGTGCACAGATATTTTTCTTGGAGTTGCTTTTTTTTTTTTTTTCTGTACAAGATTTCAAGATTTCCTTCTTTCCCCTTTCCTCTTTCCTTTTTATCTATCTGTGTAGTATAGATAGACCTTGCTTCGTTGGTTGATGTTGAGAATTATATATCCATACCATGCTATTGTAGGAAAGCAGGTCTAAGCAGCATTGAAATATTCTACTAAATAACATGAAATTAGGTATCAGTTCTTTCATGGCAGTATTTTCACATCTCTGCACAGCTGGCAGCTGGCCTTGTCTGACCTCACATTACCCCATTCTGGCTCTCAATTTCTTCCACCATTCTTGGCTCTACTCCTCCTTTACACCATGGCAGGATGTATATAGTAATGACGAGATCCCTGTCCCAACCTCACAGTTGGCAGTGCTTTTCTCTTTCACTAGCACAGTGCTAGGGCAGAGCACTTACTGTTAGTATCACCTCTTCCCTGATTCAGGTTGCTCCTAGTTCTTTCTCCGATTTTTCTAGTAAGGTACATGTAGATATCCTGTAGTCATGATGAACAAGATGCCATAAATTCATGCCATTTTTATAGCCTGTTATTTCTCCTTTATAGTCTACCACCAGCAATTACAGGTAGCTGAAAAGAGAAATCCTACTATTCCCCCTGAGAGAGCCTAATTGCCCTTAAAGTAGAAATTACACAGATCAATTATAGGGTGATTGAAACCTATAGTTTACTGTTTGATTTTCTTTTATTTCCTATTTAATATGCTATGGAGGCATTGATTTTAAAGCCAAGAGAATGCTTTTTGGTCATTTGTTCTGGCATTCTGCATGAAAAAGATCATAAAACATAAAAAGATCATAAAACAGATAATTAGAGCTCTTGCTCTTTTGTTTGTTTGCTTCTTTGTTTAGAAAAATCATCTACTGATTTTAAAATAATATTAACAGTAGTCACATACAACTCTTGACAAATTGTTCAAATGGTTGAGAATCCATGATTTTTTCTATTTTGGCTACTGTTGTGTGGCACAAAGAATTGCACTTAGGTACTGAATTTTTCACTTTCAATTGCCACTACTGAGGTGCCAGCCTCTCCGTATTGACTCCAAGAAACTCAGGCTTCTAATTTTGATGCTCTGAACTGCATGTAAGGACAGTGCCAGAACTACCCTAGAGCAACTAGTTGGAATAAATTGTTTGTCTCAGAAGATGAAAGCTGTGTATCTTTGTGCCACTAGACATTTTGCATTCTTCATCACACACACACACACACACACACACACAAAGATTATTTGTATTTGTTTTCAGTAGAAATTCAAGCAGTTCTGAAGTAACTTCCTGTGTAATTTTTTCTAACAGTCCTCTAGTAAATCTTAATAGTATTATAACTGACTTTTTTTTACATTTTTCTATGTGTTCATAATGTTTGTCGTATGTTTAAAAAAATAATAATAAAAGGGGCTTCAGAGATCTTTCTCAATTTTAAAGTTTTTCTGGTCATTTACAGATGCCTCTAAGATTTTTTAGGCTTGTTTCATTTCTGTACGTATGATCGCACCGCAGAGGTTTTCTTCATCTCACAAAGTCAGATGTCACTTTTTAGTTTGTACAGAACTTCAGGAAAATCCTTAAGTGACGTTTGAAATATAATTAATAACTAAAGCATGCTGTTCTGTAATCTTTACTCAGCTGGTTAGATTCCAATCCTTATTCCCAAATAAACCTACAGTGATTTCAGTAAAACTGGTCTTTATTGGAAATGCAGCTTACCGTATCTACTTTTTAATTCATACGTCTGAAAAGAAAATTAAATAAATGAGAAAAAAAAACCCTGAAAAATAAAAGCTGTAGCGTATGCAAATGGTTAGGGAGTAGGGCTAGCTGGAAAAAAAAGACCTAATTTTTAGTGGAGAAGATGAATATTTTCACTTTCTGTGCATCTGTACCAAAAAGGTAATGCTGTAGCTCAGAGTTGTGATTTTCCAGTCAATACAGATGTACTTGTTCAAAATTATATCAGGAACAAAAATCTTGTTCTGAACTACACAGATTCCAAAGTTGTCATGAGGATCATCTCAGCTTCAGCTGCACTGATAGAGCCATGTGCACGTATGACAAAATATTGCAATGGAGATAGCCTCTGAAGATATCCATGAAGAATATTTTCTTTGTAATTGTGTTTACTCATAAAGAAGAAATAAAATTATTTCCTGTTTTAGCCTTTGTTCGCTCTCTTGCTCTGACAGACACTTCCACTTTTCCCAGATTGCATCTTTTCTGATGGAGGAAGGAAAAGGAATTTCGCCATTGCAGAGCTTGTGCAGGAACATTATATTTTGTATAGTTTACATTACCACTGTGCAAACTCCCTAATTAAATGTGTAAAGATACGACTGCATATTTAACATGGAGTCTTTTTATACGTGGACTCTTTTGATACTGTTTTGGTAAATATTTCCTTTCTGATAAACGTGTCTGACTTCAAAGAAGTTTACTTCATTCATTCCTGAGGGAAATTGTATGCACTGACCCTTTGGAGTGTCCTAGAACATAACAATTTTAGAATTATTTTACAATGGATATAGGAGTGACATTATGAGCCCACTCTTTTATTAATTTTCAAAGGTCATGGTGAGCAAGGGAAGTTCATGATGTCTGAAAAAGGCAAACATCATGCATAC